AATTGTATGCTAGTTATAGGTTTAATACCTTGGAAACACCATTGCATGTATAATTAGTGAAAACATAGATCCAAGGTATTTAGGGTTGCATGAACACCTTAGGAGTGTTAGAATGCTCAAAACCCAACAGTGGTATCAGAGCCTAGGCTTGTTTTCAATTATACTTGGAAAGTTGACCTTGACCAGAATGTTGACTTTGACCAGGGGTAGAATGGTCCTTTTTACCCCAAGAATAGTTATCAGTTTCTGACTAAGTGTCATTATGAAATTTATAGCCGGAGAGTTACCGGAGCAGCGGACAGGGATTTCTCACTCAGATTTTCAACAGTCAGTCTTGCGAGGTGAGTTTCCCTTTAGTAGGAACGGGTCTAAGGCACCAAGGCCGGCCCGTAGTATGATATGTTAGTAGCTGAGTGTGGGCGGGGCCTGTATCTCTTAGTAGCCGGGTGTGGGCGGGGCCCGTATCTCGCAGTTTAGTTTGATTATGGATATATGTCTGACTGTTAGATTTAGTTATACTTGTTGTCTGTGTGATACTTGTATGTTTGTTTAGTGGCTGAGTGTGGGCGGGGCCCGTATCTCGCAGTAAATGAGTGTGGGCGGGGCCCGTATCTCATAGTAGTCGAGTGTGGGCGAGGCCCGTATCTCGAAGTAGCTGAGTGTGGGCGGGGCCCGTATCTCAGAGTCAGCAGAGTGTGGGCGGGGTCCTTATCTCCATGAGTGTGGGCGGGGCCCATATCTCTTAGTTGCATGTTATATGTGTATGGTATGTGGTAGTTTGGGGAACTCACTAAGCTTCGTGCTTACAGTTTTCAGTTTTGGTTTCAGGTACTTCTACTAGCAAGGGGAATGGCTCGGGATGATTGCATGACACACACCACAGTCTTCAGCCTGAGAGTTTTACTCTGATATTTTAATATGAGATTTTGACATGTGACAGATATTATGATACTTTATGATACATGATACCGATTTTATTTATGAGTATGGATGATTTATGGTTTTATTAATGATTTGAAAACGAAATTTTTGGACCGTATTTTTGGGATGTTTCACCTTGTAAGGCTCGGCGAGTAGGGTCGAAGTCTTGGCGTTTTCATGATTTCAGAACTCGGCGAGTTGTAGGGCCAACTCGGCGAGTTGAGTCAACTGGATGTTGACTTTGACCTAGAGTTGACTTTGACCAAGGTGTTGACCTTGACTTTGACTTTGACCTGAGTTCACCAGGAAATGGTAATTAAGGAAGATTGTTATGTGTAGGATTTGAGAGGGGTTGATTCCGGCAGCGAGGACAGTTCGGATACTTTACGACATCGATGTGAGTTACCTTCCAGTAGAAGTGGGTCTACGGCCACAATGCCGGCCCACTAGTAGGGATTGCTTGTCGAGTAGTTGTCTTCGTGATAATTACTCGGGTTTTCCACTATCTGATGTGTTTTACATGCTAGTATAATATGATGATTTGTGATAGTGGTAATAAGGGGAATAGTCCCCAGTTACCGGTCGATAGGGCCGAAGGGATAGTATACTACCGAGCTATGCTAGATAGTATGATTATGTTATGTTATTATGTGGTAGTAGTAGGGGTGAAATAGTCCCCATAACCGGTTGAGATAAACCGGAAGGGTAAGTCGGACACCCCGGTATGTATGACATGGGTAGGTTAGGCACCCCGGTATGCCTAGCAGGGTAGGTCGGGCACCCAGATATGTCTGGCAGTATGTTTATAGTATGGTATGTGGTATGATGGGGGAAATCACTAAGCTTCGTGCTTATAGTTTTCAGTTTTGTTTCAGGTACCTCTTCAGCGAAGGGGAAGGAGCCGGCACGGTAGCAGCGCATCGCACACATATGATTTCCGCATTTTGAGATCCATGGGATTGTACTCTGACATTGTTAATATTTTATGTTATGGTTTTGAGACACGTGACTAAGGTTTTATGAAATGATATGAATCGTCGATGTTTTTCAGTAAACTGTTTTATATGTTACTTAATTAAAAACAAAACTTTTGGTCTTGAAAATTGTGATGTTACAACGTTGGGCGTAGCTCAGATTATGCTCCGCATACTGAGCTGTTAAGCCATTCTCATTTCAAGCTCTTAACCCCTAAAGACAAATCATCAAATACTCAGATATGGTCCCAATAAACGTCTAGAGTGATAAAGTTGATAACTTTATGCCTTTTCATGGCTACATGGAACTCAAAGTCAAACCCTAGTTTCCTAACCTCTTCTAATGTCTAAAATCTCTTGCGTGGATGAAAGGTAGCAACCAAGACCCCACTTTTATGTCTTAACAACCTTAAAAACAACAAAAACTAGCAACCCTAGGGTCTGGAGTAACTTTTACTCATAAGACTCACGATTTGATTATGGGACAAAAGATCATACAAATCAAGAATCTAATGAGATCTAACACATGGACCAGCAAGATTCAAACTTTATACCTTCTGGAGTTGGGAGATGCAATGTAGTTTCTGGGTCTACAAGCTTGGGCTTCAACAATCAAAAAGCTTAAACTTCTCCTTTTCTTGAAGATGCACCAAAAACACACAAAAGGTTCAAGATTTGCTCTAAGGGATTAAGGTTTCGAGTTAAATGCTCAAGAGGGTGGAGGTTGGTGATAAGAAGCGCCTCAAGGAGGTTAATGTCCTTAAATAGGGTCCAAGAACCCAAAGTTAGGGTTTGCACTCTACGCGGTTACACCCTGCATAACTTGGGTTATGGCCTGCGTAGGGCAATAAACCCCCGCGTCCATTTAATAAGTTACGCCCTGCGTAACTTTCTATCTACGCCCCGCGTAAAGAAAAAACCTCAAAAAATAATAATCTTAAAAACATGAAGGAATGTACCTGAGAAAATAAAGTATGGTGACCAGTTTTTTAGTTGAACCGGTATGGTGACCGGTTCCCGGTTTAACCGGTTTGACCGTTGGGTTAACCGGTTTCTATAATTTTCATCTTTTTTCTTATTTTCCTATACATACATACATACATATATAAATCATGAATTTGACGTTTACAAGTTCAAACATTAAAAATACATATAAAAATAAGTTGTAGATCAATCCAAATACATTAAAATAACACATAACCATAAGTTTTAGTGTTTTACATCAATCTATATACGTCAAAAAGAAAATAAAGTATAATACCGAAACAAAATATAGTTTTAGATTAACACAAACACATCAAAAAACTTTATAACATTTACTATATGTTTTTTTAGAAAAAACCATGGTTCTAAAAAGCGCGCCATGGAGCGAGGCGTGACCTAGCCGTTACGAAAACGTCCAAGGCGGGTTTGTTAAGCGTGACGCCCAAATAACGTGTCAAGGCGCGCCCTATCGCGTTATGGCGCGAGTTTTTTTCAAGGCGCGGGTCTTTTTTTGTTTTTTTTTTGTTTTTTTTATTTGCTCTGAAATAATTGAGTTTTTGTTAACTTTTTGACTCTAAATATTAATATAACACTTCTAAAAACTTCATATATTTGATAAAATTCAATAAATTATATGATTTATCTTTTTTAATTTATATAAAATAGTCACGCCTTGAAAAACGTCATGGCTTGCCAAGGCTTGTCATGGCTTAACTTTGACCTCGCTGCCAAGCCCACGCCTCACGTTATTTAGAACCTTGGAAAAAACTAAATTGATTTGAAAAAAATCACCAAAGTTTATTATGCAAATGATTCTTTTTCATATATTTTTATTCGGTTTAACCGGGTTTATTTTGACCGGTTCAACCGGGTTTTTCTAAAAACCGGCTGGTTCAATCCGGTTCAAAAATCGATATAAAACCGGTGATAGTTGAACCGCTCTCTCCACCGGTTCCCGGTCCAACCGGTTCGACCGGCCGGTTCAAACCGGTTTTTAAAACATTGGTTACAAGCATGTGATTGGTGATGAACAAAATATGGGTGGTGATGAAGTGAATGAGGGTGGTGATGTAGGAGGGTAAGATGATGGACAAGAGCATGATGAGGTGGAAGTCACTCTTATGGAGTTTAATCCATCAAGAAATGGAGTTGTTGCTCCACAAGGAGGTGATGAGGTTGGGCAAGTAAATGAAAATGTCAATGTTGGTGAGGTGTAGGTGCAACATAAGGTGAGATTAAGACCAAGTGCAACCATTTTGAAGAACATCATAAGGAAAAAAATCTAAAAGTATTTTGAATTTGAAGATGGCCAAGAGAGTTGGTGATGATGATGCACCTGGATATTCAAATCTAAAGCTCTTGTTTTAGATTAAGTGAAAATGCACTTTATATATTATTGTGTACTTGTTATTTAGTATGAAACTATGTACTTTATTTTGTTTGAATCGATGTCCTTTATGTTGGATATTAATTTTCTACTAATATGAACTTGGTTGTTATTGTTTTTAAGTTGGTTGTTATTTTTAGTTACTTGTTGTGTTGCATGCATGGTAAGCACTTCTATGGTGCCATGCATATATTGGTATTTTGAAATTATAAAATACACATAGTGGAAATTTAAAATTTTCCCAGATTCTATCCTTATGATAGTTTGCACACAATGAACCCCTACACATAATTCAATTGCATAAAAAGGACACAATGTTGTCCATATGCCCGACAGTGTTTAATATTTTTACCACATGCATATCATTAAGTAGACAAAAGTACAAAACAAGTGGTTCCTACTATGTGATTAATAATACATATCATTAAGTAGACAGAAGTACAAAATAAGTGAATCAACACTTCCATTCATTCATGAGATCATTCATTCATATAGTTAGATACAAAAGTTGCTTACAACATTGCCATCAATTACAAATGTTCCCAAATTTCCAAAACCTATATCTACCATACCATTCATTTATCCACCGTGATCAAACAACCATACATTAACCTGCCATACATTAACCCACCATACCTTAACCTACCATGATCATGTATCCATACATCCAATACACTATCCAAAAGAGTGGTTGGAATTATATATCATCAACCATCAAAAGTAGGGTTTCTCGATCAGGCGCATTTCAACCATATCCTAATGATTGTAATGAACAAAACAATGATCAAACACTTAGCATATCCCATGTAAGTGTTCATGATTTCATTTTTCTTATTTAACTCCATTAACTCTATCTCGAAAACTTCCTTCTTAGCTTCCCTCAAGTCCTGCAGTTCATCCCTAGCTTGCTCCAATTGAACCACTTTCTTTTGAGCCTTCACAACCTCACTATAGCCTTCCTTTCTACGTAGCTCATACCTCATCTTATGAAGTTGGTCTTTGTAATACCCCTCCTCCATTTCATCGTCTTTCCACAAGAAATTTTTTGCAGCTTGGAGCTTCATTTGACTGATTAAAAATGGAGTATACAATTAGGGTTACTAATAACATAAATCTATGAAATTTCCAGTTAAAGATACCAAATAGGGTGCAACTAATAAAAGGAATACTCACCGATGAATATTTGTAGTTCTAAAACCTACGAGTTAGGGTATCATTAGTCCAAGAAGTTCTTTCGACACTGATATCATTTATACAGTTACATGGGGGACATTGTTTTATCATCGACATGGTGTCTAAGATGAAGGATGTTGATGGATCGAGCAGACGAGAAAGACCTTGCTTTGGTTTTAACGATCGTGAAAAGGGTTTCGGGAGGGAGACAATAACCTAATTTGGGGTAAGAACGTATTGCACTTGGTTCGATTGAGGGTTCCATTTAAGGAAGGTAAGCCACCGTGTACGGTGACATGTCTATTCGTATCCACGTAGGTCAAGACACATCAGCGTGTAAGCAATGACCCGGAGACAATCTCCCCCATTTCCTTAATTAGTTGGTAATTGGTTACTTTAAGGACTAATTGCCGCAAAAAAATACATTAGTGACTAAATAGGTAAAATCATCAAACTTCGTAGTGCTATAGTAGCATTTTCCTTAAAAGGTTCTATTCCAAACAACTAGTGCATGGGCAATGTATATATTTGATGGATAAATAGAAGAAACGACTTTTATAACATTTTACTTGTTTTTTATTAAGATATTATATTTTAGAAAATTCACTCGATTATGGGAGTAAAATTTATCTTGCATTTCAATGATATTACTGTAATTGATATTTTTTTTTAAAAAATATATAATATCATAATAAAAAGGAATTAAATATAAGATACTACAATAAACATATAATTGAAGATACGTATGAAATTCTTGCATTTATGTCTTATGATTTAACCCTACACATTATACATATGTATGTTGTATGTTGTATGTGTATGTGTATGCTTTTGGCGATGCCATGTATAAGACAAATTTTGATCATCGAGTGTTGCTAATCGAAAGAGATTTATATATCAAGAGTTTTTGTTGATACACATTTCTTAAACGATAAGCTTAAAAGAAGGATGCTTTTGTTAAAATGAAGAACCCAACAACACCAACCGTACACTCCAAAAAATGCCAACTCCCACCGCTTGCTTCTACACAAGAAAACTTGTTCTATAACCTAACCTCACCCTTGCAAGTCATAAATAACTCTTAGCCGTCATTTATCACTTACTCCTTGCACATTGCTAAACGAGTTAAATGGAAAAAATAGAATACATTAAAATTACAAATCTAGAGCTTATATATTTTTGAAATATCAAAAAACACCACTTACCTCGTTTTTGCATATTTTTTAACAAATTGTAAGATGTTTGATCTTTACAGTGAAGGGTATACCATCCGACATAGAAACATAAGACATTAATCAACTAAGCTAGCATCCATTATTTACTAATTTACCATGAACGCCACTTATAATGGCAATGATAAACGCGAATTTTACGCGAGTAAATTTGGAAAACACAATCCATCCATGAATATCATATATTTTTCTTGAGTAAAAAAAAAAACCCTAATTTTTAAAACAAAAATCACGAGTAAATTCAAAAAAGAAATTAAATATCCTCCTACATTTTGTTTCTATTTTTTTTTCCTATCTATTTAAGATGATGTCAAGTATACAAATTTAACATCTCAATCAAATTTAACATCTCACCATCTAAAATAGGTAGGAAGATAGTAGGCACAAAAAATAGGAGGATATTTAATTTCTCAACTCAAAAACTCGAAACTTTAAGTCATGATTAAAGATAAATTTTCTGAAAAACAAAAATAAAAGAATGTGTAATAGAGATCGTTAAGTTGTATGGTATCCAATTCCTCCCCTTAGATTCACATCCCAAAAGATGTTAGTTTTACCTTTCAACTTTCAGACTTTAAAAAACTTTTGCAATAAGATTTCAACCCAAAAAAGTTATTTGTAGAAATACTTGCATATTAGTCATTTTAACTAGAAATGTATGTGTTTATGTTTTTCAAAAATAAGTGTTAACCATAATTTTAAAATTTTGATTTTTTAAGTTTTACTTGCCATTTTCCGTAAAGTTATTGTTTTGATTTTTAGTCGTATAAAATTTATAGTGCTCGTAAATGGTTTGCAAATTTGGGTGTTTTCGCTAATTCACGGCTATAATTTGTGAGTGTTCTTTGTAATAAAGTGTCTTTTTTACCGAAAAAAAAATAACCTTGTGAATTCGTGAGTTTTTATTTTAGGTTACCATTAATAATAATAATAATAATAAACAAAATGGACACATGAATATATATATATATATATATATATATATATATATATATATATATATATATATATATATATATAAAAGCTCAAAATATAATTTTTATGAATAACTGAAAGAAATAATATTTGTTTATTGATTTATTTGCAAGTATTAACCCTTAGCCATCGCCCATCACACGTCACCTATTCCTTTATTGCACATTTTAAAACAAATTAAATGGAAAAAGAATGACGTATGTTTATTGATTTATTTCCAAGTCATAAACCTTAGCCACCACCCACCATGCACATTGTCATTGTTAAACGAGTTGAATATAAAAACTATATGTTTATTGAATAAGCTATTTGTTTATAGCGATATTACTAGAATAAAAAGAAATTTCTGTTGTTTCAGTTAGGTAGGTATTGATCTTTCGATAAGAAAATGTGAAAAAGACAGTGTTATATTTTAACTGATTTTTCTTAAATCCAATTTATTAATGAAAAACTAAAGATCCAATATTATAACAAAACAAATAAAAACTGAATTATAATATACAAATCAAAGTTCAACCTTAATATACAAATCAAAGTTCAACCTTATTTTCTAACCTTAGTAAACGAATGATACCTGCTCCTCTACATTAAAAAATGAATGCCATCACCATGAACAAGAATATTTACGTAGTGTTTGGTAGGATAGAGTAAATAAAATAATGGAAACAGTCTTTTATTTAAGTGCAAATTAAAACTATTGTTTTTTTCAAGAAAATAAATTAAATAACTTTTGGAGTGAAAAATGAAAATTAGTGGTCTCTACTCTCTAGTGTGAAAGCTAAATATTTGTTTCATATTTTCCTGATGATCATTTTCGAACTCTTTCTTAAAGCGCACATCTTGGACAATCAACGCCCATTAATCTTCAAGCATGAAATACATATAAGTTTTCTAATCCTTTTTGCATAAAGTGTATTGTGAAGCCAACTTTTCATTTTAATAGCTGGAAAAACCACTTGCAAATATCAACATGTTTGAAAATAAAACAATGATTTTCGAACATGTTGTTCATGTTTGCAAAAAAAAAAAAAAAAAAAAAATTATGGGTTTCATTAAATGACTTTCGTATTTGCTCGATTAGGCGTAGGAACCTAGTAGATAAGTCATTTTTTGTAAGAACCTTCCTTACATCTTCGATATAATAGCCCAAAAATTCAGATAAAATTTTTCATTTAATAATTAGAATTTTTAACCATATTTGTTTTTCCAAAATCTCATTACATAAATTCATTAACCAAAAGATTAGAGTATCCAAAACAAAAAGTGCGGAATACTGGAGGGTGCACGCTGCGCCATCAAGCCAGACCCTTGCCCTTAGAACCAGAAGTACCCGAAACACCCAACAAAACTGTAAACACACGCTTAGTGAGTTTCCCAAAATACACAAACACATAACCACATAATGTCATGCACATATATACATTGATTTGCCTACATGGTCTTCATATGGAATGTCATGGGCTACCCCCATGGTCTTACATCCAAGGGCCATAGGCTCCCCCTCATGGTCTTACCAAGTGTCATGGGCTCCCCCTATGGTCTTCACATAAGTCAATACATATCAAGTCACAAACCATTGTATATTCAGCTATTAAAATCTCATATCAAGTAATGGGTCGGCATTGGTGTCTTCGACCCATTGGTATAGTGAGAAGACTCACCTTAGTTTGCTGAAAACAATCACTGCTCAACTACCAGCCAAAATCTCACACTGAACAAATATACAAATACCCTAATTAGGATTATAACTCAACCTAATCAAAAAGCCCAAAATTCTAAGTCCAAGTTCCTCCATAATGGCCGAAAGGTCATTCCTTCACTAATGGGTCTAGCATCCAAAGTCCGCAATCATTATGGGCCACAAGGCCCAAGAGTCCCAACTAAGCTACTAATGATCAAATAATGAATTCCAGGGCCCAACTGGCCCAAATGCCCAGGCCCAAGGTTAATAACCCGAAACCCATATATGGCCCAAAGATTTGAGCCCAACGCTTAACAAGGCTGCCTGAGCCGTACGCCCGGCGTACACACTGGTACGCGCATCGTACCTCAGCCGGAGGCAGTACACACGGCGTACATGGGTGTACGCGCGGCGTACGCGCCAGTTATGCAATAATCCATGCAATGACTTAATGCATTAAAATTTTACGTCCAAAACTCAGATCTGGACCCATTAAGACCTATATGGCTATAAAGTTGCCAACTTTAAGCCCTTGCATGGCTATAAGAAGTCCAAAGACGAAGATCAAGTCTCTTAAGCCCTTTCCTATGTGACAACCGTCAATTTCTGGTCAAGTCAAAGTCAACAAGTCAAACAGGTCAACTCAACTAGTACTTGTATGTTAGGGCTTACTCTATGTTTACTAATGTACAACTCTCTATCTTAATACAAAGTATCACTCGGAAGTTTCTTATGTTCAGAAATTCTAAACCCTAACCAGGGTGAGTGATGTAACGACTCTATAAAGCACTATTATGTACCCTTCGGGGGCGTAAAACACTCATAACAAGGCATAGTGGGGTTTACAAACCTTACATTACGGGGCCAAACACTAACAAAGGCTACAAACAAAGTCTCTCTTAATTTCTCCCACTCTATCTCAATCTCTCATAAATCTCTCCCAATCTCTCTCAAACCTCTTGGTAATAAAAATCACATTTTCCTACTTCTCTATGAACATCCA